ACATTAAAACTTCTGCTCTAGCAACGAATCTCCACTCCTGGTCGGTAGAAGATACACCTTCCTCGGATCACAACTACGTCACTTTCAGCATAGGGCAACCGCACGTCAAGTATTCTGCCAAACCCTACAAGCTCACAAGGAGCAAGTTGTAGACCCTTCTGTATAAAATCTTTCACCTGTCACCTGTACTTCTTCCTTCCAGTATCCAATCTTTAAATCAAGCGTCAAAAACTATTTGCTGTCAGAAAGTGTGTACAGAATGTCGCCAGATCTAGGAAGAGGGTAGCTATCTTTCTTCGTGAACAGGCGATAGTCAACGGCTAGTTGAACGAACAGGTTTCCATGTTTCTTCTGACGGGAGAGGCCCAAGGACTTGCTAAAAGCTCTATAACATCGTTTTCTTGCATGTGCTTCAGAAGGTTTCCTATCTGTTCCTCTTTAGCAATCGGTAGACGTCTTGGATGTTGCTAGATTGGTGGATGTTCCCCTGTATGAACTCTTTACTCTGTCAAACTGGTTCGACTTATGTCAGAAGATTAGTGGAAATAGACTTCTTGAAATTCTTGTATTATAACACGTCGGCAGCACTCCTTTCTTCATCGTTTAGTTGTGCAATCTGCAATCAGTCTGATATTAAGGTTTCAGAAGACATGGACTCTGGAGTACTACTGGCTCGTTTAACGCAGGTCACTGGTTTACATGGTGTACATGCTGCAAACACTTCGCCTTTCCTAATGACTTTGGTTTTATCACTGTCGTTAGCGACGCTCATCAGGATGACAGTCCCCGATAAGTCGATAAGTGCCGAAGCTACTAATACTCCTGGAAGGATGTTACAATTCTTGAGATATTCCATTATACCATGCAGGAAATTTCTATTTTAGGTTATGTATCTAGCAAGGGAAATTTCTGTTCTTGTTGATACTGCAATGTCGTCTTGACCTATGATATGGTGGACGAATTTAAAAATAACGAACTGTGTTCCGTCTCTGATGACATAAGTGCTAGACAGAATGAAGTTCGTTTTTGTTAAAGTCCAAAGAAAACTTTTATTTCCTTAGAAAGTGTAATCCGAGTATGCAGGGGTCATAATATTTGCTACATATGCCGGTAGTAGTAGGCTGCACTTTCAGACGTAATCTAACATTTAATTTTCCATGATGTCGATTTCGTCAACGGACACATTCTGGACGGGAATGTTTTACTAATTTTACTTGTTTTCCTTGCTGTCAAATAAAATGGGAACAGGGGACATGGTTTAGTGTTTCTATGTATTCTGTTGCAGCTTTCTAATAGTTCAGTCAAAAGCTGAAAGATGCGAAGTATTCAAATAACAGCCTGTGAACATCCAGTGGCATAAATAGAGGGAAGTAGAGGGGAGGTTCACCCTAGGCGGCACATTTTTGGGGCTGTATATTTCGCATGAAACATTGTTTTATAGAAATTAATCACATGGGTTGTCGAAGCAAGTAAATAATAATGAGATTCTGAATACCCATATGGAATACGGGAAAAAGTAAGTTTTTTTACTCTGTATGAAATATTGAAAGAAATCACCATGAGAATGCAAAAGCTACATACTCTTGTTATGTCTTTTTTATTTCATCAACGTTTCGATGGGAATTACTAATAACAATTAAATTATGATTAGTGACATTCATAAGGCAGGATTCCTCGTTAAGAGAGTATTTCATTTTTGTTATTGCTAAAGAAAATGAAATTGGAATGTGGAAACGGGGTCCTTTTGAATTTTCGCCATTTATTCTGAAACCCGATCTTCAGAATAAAGTTCCTATATTTTAATACTATTGAGAACATTCTTCACAATTGCTGTAAGTGTTGCTAGCTGTGAGAGAAGAGTTTTCTCTCTCAGCTAAATTAAAAATTATTTAGGAGTTTTATGAACTATGAATATTTATTTTGTATTTACGAAATCTTTCTATACTGTCTACATTAGAGCAACTGGAACAATCAAGTAGATCTCTACGATGTTATCGATAGTTTTGCAAACAAACAAACTTAATAATAATACACTTTTAAAATATTGGGATTTGATATTTTCTAGCTAGTTGTTTTCATTTCAAGAGAGGCGGCAAATTCCGGGGCTGGTCCAGGTGGCAAAATCAAGGACTGCCCCGAGCGGCAAAAGTTCTAGCTGCGCCAGTACGAGCATCGTCGGTTCTCTCGCGAGGTTGGAAGACATAAACATGTCTAGCATATTGCTATCTACACCATGTTTTGTTTATGTTTCAGTTATTCAAGTCAGCCTGCTATGCTTGTCTCATAATGTCCTGTTGGGCAATGCAATATGCTTACTCTCTGACGGAACTCATTTTGGGAATGAATAGGTCAAAATTTCTGAGAAAAAATGCCTAAATATTGTTTTAATAATAAATAATAAGTTTTTAATTTATTTTCTGTCATTGACTAATAAATGTCAATGACAGAAAATAAATTAAAAACTTATATAACATATAGGTTTATATAAAATAAAATAAGGATTCAGATATTAAATGGTTTTATTTAAAATTTTAAAATCAGCGAAAGAAATCGGGCAATATAATTAATAAAATATAAATTAGGCAATGCATTTTTTTGAAAACAATGAGTTTGTTTTCTGATTAAAAAGTAGATTTTCTTCAATATCTGAAACAGCGTATTTAGCCAGACAATTGACTAAGGTCAAATTTTATTGGTGAAAATTTAAGAATTACTTTTTTTAATTTAATAGCATATTTTACATGTAATTTCAAAACAATTTCTTTTTTTATGTGGTACGAGTAAATCATTTTTTTTTTTATTTCACGACTTGAACTTCTAGAACTTTCTCACCTACGATTTAATCATATACTAGAAAGTATTAGGGATTTTTGAAGTTGGAAATGCGAAAATTTTGCAATGCTCTGGCTGGGATTTGAACTCCGGACTTCCAAGTTGCTAAGCGGACGCGCCACGAAGGCACAGGAGAATAAGAGAGAAAAACCTTGAAAAGATATTACAGCTTCTATTCCTCAAGCATCTCTCAGAATTCTATGTAATACCTTTTATTTACCTCTTCAATGATTCTGGTATTGAAGGAAAGAATTACCAAGATGTGCTAGAATCAAAAATCTAACTTCGACATTTAGTATCGGAATACCCTTTAAATTATATGCTCATTCTGTTGTTTATCTCTGTTCAGCAGATAAAGTGTTTGTTAAGTCGTAATAAGAGTGCACAAGGTATATATATACAGTTTTTATCTGGAATTTGCTTCTAATTTTTTTTTTTTTTTTTTTTTTTTTTTTTTTTTTTTTGTAAATTTCTTCATGTATCCTTCAAGACGGCAAAACATAACTGTAATAACGAAGTGATTAGATGTCTGAATAGATTAGTACATGTTAATTGAAACGGACTATAAGATTAAAACTACACAATGCAAGAAACTAAATTAATTGCGCTTAAGCAATGTTTCCAATATTTCCAACATTATCATTAATTATTAATTTTAACTTCCTAAAATTCAGACACTGTGTCTGTGTCAAGATTAGTTGTTTCCTACACAATTTTCCATAATGAAATTCTCGTAGGATTTTTGAAGTTGGAGGAGTTGAAATATTACTAAAACAAATGTTCCTTTGTTTACTTATGGTAAAACCCTTGAGATTCGCATATTAATGCATATGAGAATGTAAATATTTTGCATAAGTGATTAACTAAGGCATTTCCTCTTCTTTTTCGCCTTTATTTCTTTTCTTTTCCTTTTTTTAAACATTATTTTAAATTTACTCTAATGAAATATTATTTTTAGCTGGAAAAATGTATTTTGATCTGAGATTTTACTGGGACTCGAAACCGAAACCTGCTTTTCGGGCGAAAAAATATTTCATCTTTGAAGTAGCGAGATCTGCAACCAGAACGTCGGATACTTTCTACTTGGGAAGAAGAGCATTGCGTCAGAGCGATTACCGGATGAGAATTTTCAGCAAGAGAATGTCATCTGCTGTTCATATTACTCTCTTCTAGTATCTGGATTGAGGCGTATCTTGGTTGAGTACATTGGCTCTTCTTTGCGGTGGAATTTACCGTTACCCTCCAAAAGCGGCCTAGTAAAAGGCTCTGCTTCGATCCCAAATTCCTCTGTGTGCGAATAGTGCTTTACTGCTGATCTACGAAAGCTTGCAACTTGTTTCAGAGAACTTCCTGGTGTCTGTAACCCAACAATTACTGGATCAACGAGTCGGGTGCGCTGCTCAAGAATGTTAGTTGCTTTAAATGAATAATGGCCAAGACAAGAATTGTCATTATAAAAAACAAATTGTAAAAGCCAAAATAGGAACTATGATCGCAGGCACTCAGATTCTTTCTAAAATGTCAAGAAATAAGCTAAGGAATCCTGCAGCATATGATAAGTGTGACACAAAAGTTTTGATACCTGTTTTTATTGCACTGAAACCCCAAATCTGATAGGGCATGAATCACTGCTTTAAAATTTTGCAGAAGAACGGACATACTTTTTATTAATTCAAACTTTTTGCTTTCATGGCTTTACACATACGTGTTTCTGAGCTATTCTGAGCACAAGAATCTTCACATGCTGTATGCGTGTTATTTGGGAAGATGGAGACTCATGCCCTTTCTTAGCTGCCAGTTTCATTCTCAGTTTTAACCTTTAAATTATACGGTTTAGGCTCCAGGATTGAATCCCAGCACTTTACCTACTGAGCTTTTAATTTCTTAGCAAATGTATATATGGGTCATATCTTCATAATATCCAAAGCAAATTTTTATTACATTTTATATTAAAACAAAATTTCTAATAATTTCTATAAATAACTGAATATTATGCTTTAAAAAGGCTCATAAAAGGTTACAGCTAGTAATAGGACCCTACCATACTAATAACGCATTAAGATTCATTATACCTTTATTAGTTAAAGGTTAATGAATGAAATCAGATTATTAGAACTATTAAATGTGCATATGCTAGTTCTTGCTTATACACTGTTTTGATTGAATAGGTTGAAATCAAAGAAAGCCCTCGAAAATTCAAGTATGACGAATGGAGTCGCAGTTTGAGCTTGAGCAGCATGCCAAGAAAAGCAGGACATTCCAGTTCTAGAAGATCGAGTGCCTCAGATGTTGGTCGGTCTCTCTTACCTGTAACAAAGACAAAGCCGCTACTTCTTGCTTAATGTTCTATAAAGAATGTTTTATGCATTTTTGTGAATAAACTTTATATTAAAATAATATTTTTTTAATTGATATTATACTAGAATATTGTTTAAAAGGAATATTTCATGAAACTCAGATCGATGCTTCTAACATTTTCTCAAATTCTGATTTCTAAGAAACATTGTGATACTATGAGTAAAGTAAAGTGGTAAGCGATAAGCGATGGAGGACGTGGGCACTGTTCTTTTGCCATTAGGTTAATCAGTACAGTACCACGTCCACCCTTATCTAGATTTGGCCAGTTGGTGTGGCCACACGAGAGCCTCGCATAAGACTCCCAGATCCAGCACCTAGAGCATCCGGTGGGCAGTCGAACAGAAGTAAAGTGGTAGAAACTCAGCTGCGTCGATGACCGCGAACTATCTTGTCAGCTGCGCTGAATGCCGCTATTCTTTGAGATTTGTACGCGGATGGTGGCTTTTCGTATAGATTTGGGCTCTCAAAGAAAAGGGCCTGAAAATGAAACATTCACTTAAGTATTCTGACTTTTTTGATGCAATTACAGATTTAGAATTGATTAAAACTTTCTTTATGCAAATATTTATTTTTGTTCAATCACATATAGAGTATAAGAAATAAAATGCATATCTCAGCACTTATTTAAGGAAATAAAGATGTAAATCAACTGTCCCTTTTATGCTTTTTGAAACGTAAATCCAAAACGTTTGCTTTTTTAGGCGATGAAAAATTTCTTTTAGTTGTTTTCCAGATGATTCATGGACAGTAATTATCTTCCAGAGTCCAGCTGATAGGTTTCATTACACAATTCCTTTCAATTTTCTTACCTACTTACTTTCAAGGAATAGTTACTTTCAAGGGATTGTTTAGAGCGTATCACGAGAAGAGCTTTGCATTATTGAAGCAAATGACACAGATTAAATCTAAGTTGTCTTCCGAACAGTAAAATAATAAAAATTTTGATATTTTTATGCAGGCACTATGAAAAATGTTACAGAAGAGAAAAAGACGTAGCAATGTTGTTAAGAACGTAGATACATATTGAAGAGGAAGAATACTAATTGCATAGAATACTGAAATGCTGATCCACAATGGATGAGAAATTTGGAAGTCGTGGCAGTTTTAATTCTATCTTTATTTAAATTCACATTTAGAGCCACAGTTAACTTGGTACTCTAATGGTGCCTATTTTCAGAACATTTGCATTTTTAAATATAATATCGACAGAAACAGAGCACAGAGAAATAACGTCCAAGCGGCACACAGAGGGAAGCTAAAGTAAGCATTTTTCCAATATGACAACTGACCAGAGAAAAGTTGGTTTGGGTTTACGTTAGAAAGGTTTTAGTTCCGAAATAACTGCGTCATAAGCTTTACGCAAGCTCTGACATAGATTAATCTAAAAATGACGCAGTCCAGAAATATTATTATTTTAGAATAAAGAGGAATAATCAAATTAAAAATGAGTATTAAGAGGCTATTACTAATTTAAATTATAAAGCTGATTCACATATTTTTCTCTTTGAAGGGGGGGGGTTATGTGGGATAGAAAAATATGCAAGCCAAAATTATAACTTAGGGAACCTCTTGGTTACTCATTTTTAATTTGTGTACTTCCTCTCTAGTATTAACTTTCTAGAAACTGTGTCATTTCTCAAAACTAATTCCGCATTATATCACCTTCAGCATTGCTTATAAATTTTATCCAATCATATTAACGGAAACGTTTCGCTATAAATACCGTTACAATCCTACTACCTTCCCTCTTTCTCTGCCTACGCTTACTAGCTTAAGGACGTCAATTGCATAGCTGCTTCTATTAAAAATGTAATGCATCATCATCAGAATTGTGGGTTGCAGATTGGTCCTATTGTTATGTGCTATGCCATACGGCGATCAACAAGTAATAAAGAGAAACTTGGATTATCAAGTGATTTTTGTGATTCTTCAAAATCCTTCGCATCTTCTACTACATAATTGATATTTTCAGTGACAATATAACCTCAATCCACTTGAGACTGCAAAATAATGTCTTCCCTAATCAAGCATTCATCTCTCGCCAAATTACTGCTAGGAATATAATTATATTATCACACACTTACGCTCACACACACACACATATATAGGAAGTACAAATATGTCTCTGCGCTATTTTATCAAAAATTGGGACATTTATTGTGAAAGAACAGTACATTATGTTGTATTCAAAGTATTATCTATCGCTAGCCACTACTCTTTTCCCATCGTTCTGGCAGCATACGGATACCGCGTCGGAAGAACGCCTCATCTTTCGAAGCTATCCACAAATCAAACCAATATTTGGTCTCTTCATGTGATGTGAAGCTCTGCTCAGACAGACCATGTATCATCAACCGAAATAAATAGTAATCAGAAGAAACAATATCTGATGAACACAGCAGGAAAAATCATTTGAGTGTTTCATATCTGATGAATACAGTAGGAAAAATCATTTGAGTAAGTAGGCTTTGACCAGCGCCGCAACATATGGATGAGAGTTAGCATGCAAGAGAATAATTATGTCATGTGTGGAGTAGTAGTGGGGCCACTTTTCTTTCAGTGCTCTGCTCAATCGCATCAATTTTGTTCGGCAAACAGCCTCAGTAATGGTTTTGTTCGGTTTGGGCAACTCACAGTACATAACACCATATACAAAACATAATTTTTGTTCCATGAATTTTCAGCTGGGCTGTCGATGTTCAAGCATGGCCATGTGAGCCCCATGATGTTTTCTTTGGGCTATTCGTAATGGATCTAGTTTTCGTCACTAGTGATTATACAATGCAAAAAACCCTTTCGTTTATGCCTAGCAAGCATTTTATGTGAAAAAAATCGGCTCTCAAGGTTTTTTGGCTTCAGTTCATACGAAACCCAATTTCCTTGTCTTTGCACAGTTGCCAACGCTCTCTATTTAGGCGGGAGACTCCCGATTTCTGACGTACTCCCACCAACCCGATTTACAACATATTTCTCCTGACTTTCTCTCATTCTTCAAATTTCTCATGATTTTTATGTAGCTTAAATTAATACTTCGTTATTTGCATAAAATAAATGTGATTTTGGGCGTTTGAAAGCACTTTATTTTTCTCTAGATTACATACAAAAGAAAACTAAAGTCGTTCCATCAATGAGAAATTATGGCTCACTTCTGCCAAAGAATATGAAGGGGAGAAGAAAGTAAGCTGTCGTAAACATAATATAAATCAGCCTGACTCGCCTCAGGTGACTTTCGAATCGAAGCCAAAACGCTCAAGGTGCTGACGAAATTCTTTCTACTTGAAATGATAGTGAAATATGAAGCTTAAATTTGGTATTTGAGAATTAGCTTTTCTTTTAATTATACTTAAAATCTTTATTCTGCAATGTGCTTTGCATACGATTTTTTATTTTATAGAAAAAGTGTTCATTTTACAATTAATACTTTTCGCATTTAAATGTTTAACACATGGTTACTATTGTATTAATATTTCTAATGTAATAGTATATTTAATTATGCCTTCATTTTAAATGTCTATAGTATTACATTCCCATAAATAAACTCATAGATATAATATTTGTTATTAATAAAAATTGAAAAAAACACGGAGAGTAGGGAGAAAAGACTCGCTTAAGGAATTCCTTAGCAGCGGTCACCCTCCCAAACACAGACCACGTCCTTCACTACTTGATTTGAGGTAAACGGAGCCGATTCTAACCTCTGAGCTGACAGCTCACCCGCATTCTAGGCAAAATGAGGCATAAGCGGAATTACAGCAAGTTGTTATTAATAAGAAATGTTAATTAGGATAATTTAGTGCTTTCAAAGATGTTTTCAAGCTCCTTCATTGCGCAAAAGAATTCGAAAACATTTTTATTGGGGTAAGTGTTTTAATTGTTTCGGAGTAAGATTTTGATTTTAAGATAAGAGTTCATTTGGAATTGTTTCTCAAAGATGTTATTTTGTCCTTTTTCATTGGGAAGGTCTTAGGATTTTCCATTTTGTGGTTAGCATTATTACCATATTAAAATTTGAGGGATATGATGAAGTTTGGCTTTTGGAACTTTTGAGCAGCTATTGGTTCTTAAAAGTAAGGCACATAATCTCAAACTGAGATACTTTCAAATGTTCCTGAATTCTTTAATAATCTGGGTTATAATTTTAAAATAAAATGTTTGAATGAGTTTCCAATTTAATTGTTCATTACATGCGATTTTTTTTATTACTTTCTCATGTCGTGGAGCTTTGGATCGCATTCGTAGATAAATTTCAAGGTCTGTCTTTACGCCTGTAAAGTTTGTCGACGCCTTACACATTTTAAACTGAATTTTTCTCCGTGGCGTTGTTGTGTCGCTGAAGCTTTACCTCTACTCCCAATTCAAATTCTTTACTTCTGCTTTGCGAGTGAGAGCACACGTATCCGAAAATGTCTTATTCCAGCTCTCCAATATACACCGAGTGCCACTGCGTGTATTAGCCAATGAGCGCAAATGGAGATCGAAGTTGTTATTTCCTTTATCTTATCGCTGAACATTGGAAGTGTACGGGCTCTCCAGAAACGGTTTAACCCTTTCCGGCACGCTACCTTTTAAAGTTGGAGTTTTGATAAAAAAAATGGTAGGCAATCTAATTAGGCCTAGAGGAGTACACAAGCAAAGTTTTGTGAAGATAGCGCTTATCTTTTAATTCTGTGGGTGTGCCCAAAGTGGGCACACTGGTTGAATAGAGCTTCAAAAAGAGTGCTTAAACGAGCATTCTTGTCAATGAACTGACCGATGAGATGCAGAGAAACAAAGAATATAGACTCTCAGTTGTCCTAGATTATCGGTGAGCCCGGTCTGGGCACACCTAGGTTTCGCCGTTTGATTTTAGGCAAGATTTCAAGGTAAAAATTTAAAACTAATATACAATAAGAAGATTAGTATACAGCCAAAAAAATAACATAGAAATTTCTTTTCAATTAATTACTTTTATACCCTAAAAAATCTGGAAGATTTCTTTGAAAAATGAGGGTCTTGAAAAAACTAAACATGGCTAAAATATATGGACTGGTTTGTGTTGCGCTATCATCTA